ATGGTAATACGACTGTGAGATCGAGATCTGATTCTAATGAGGCGTGATGATTTTTATGTGTATTGTTTGTGTATGTTTGTTATATAGATTGTTCAGTGTTGCACATTTTATTGTAAACCGCTTCGAGTCGCCTTTTTAGGCTGATATTTGCGGTATACAAAAGAAGTAAATAAATAAATAAATAAATAAGTTACATTTTCCCTGAAGAGATCATATTGCTAAGTGTGCCATCACACTCAGACGCCTTAAAGATGAAACTATGATGTGCTGCTATCTTTGTCTGGGCGGACTGCTGGGATCTTTCTTAAGGGTTTGAGCTTTCTGAGTAACTGAGCCCACTTCAAGTATGGAACAGCAAACAGGGTATGTATTAACAAAGTCTTTGTAGACTTGGCATGGCTTATCAACGTTACAGTCAATTGGTAAAGCGTAGAGATGAGCTTTGTTGCATTCAGATAATGAATTAGCTTTCCTCCAAAGGGTATAGTGGATTCTGAAATTCTTCTATCCTAATCTTGAGCCCCTATAGTAAGAAAAAGCAGGTTTTTCTCCTATCTATAGCCCAAAATTAGCTTTGGAGGCAAATGCTCAATACTATCTATAATTTCTCTATAAACTCAATAAGCTTCTCTATCTATAACTCAATTGTTCTCTTTTAAACTATCTATCTATGACTCAATTACTCAATATATTTGTATTTCTATCTATCTATGGCCTAAGTGATCTTTATATCCCAAATCTATCTGTTGAGACTCAGCATTCTGGCACCATACCTACTACTAGTAGTAGGAGAAGGAGAAGAAGTGATGCAGAGGCAGATGAGAATCAGCGTCAGCTGAAACGTATTCGTGACATCTTTCTGGCTTCAAGTGATTCAGAGGACTTTGCAGGATTTGGCCCAGAGGAAGCTATGGAAGCAGATTACCGGGGAGTAAAGAGAGTGGCCAGTGAATCTGGCAGTGATAGTGACACTATGTCTAAGAGGCTTAAAGACACAGCAGACAATTCCAGTGAAAGTGAGGATGAGATGGAGGAGCCTTTAGACTGGACTCTGGTTCAGAACATTAGGGACATTTGCAATCAAGCAAACTCTGTGTTCCTTGGGTCGCGACACTATCTATCTATGGCCTAATTGATCTTTATATCCCAAATCTATCTATCTATGGCCTACTTGATCTATTTACTTATATATTTAGTACTTGCAATGATTTCTCTAGGCTTTCCTGCTGGCCTCTAGCACATCTGAAATCTTTTTTCCCAACTGAAAGGGCAGGGAGGCCTCTAAAATGGAGGTCTTTCCCTGGGAGCAGGGGCGGGCTCAAAGAGCTGCTCTCTAGGCCAATCATTGCAAAGAGGCCTGCAAGCAGGCTTTTCTGCCTCTGAGCTGCTAGCCTTCTAGGGCTTTGCAAAGCTGCAACAGCTCTGAGAGAAATGCAAGGGGAAGCAACGTTAAGGTAAGACAAACCAGGCTCCTGGGAGACGAAACACTAAGCATTCAAAGGGAAAGGAGACAGTGGCATGCGGGATAAATAAGACAAACCGCCCTCTAAGCCCCTTCTTAAGATAAGCATGCTTGAGGAATATGGGGGAGGAATCCCTCATTCTAATCTATCTAGGCTGAGTACTCATTGAGGGCTGGAGCCTTGTAGAGTCAGGGATGAAACTCAACACTAACCAAATCTATTTTTGTAATGGCATGTCTTTATCCTTGGCAGTTTAAAGACATGGTTCTTCAGTTTAACAGATGAGTTGCCCGTGTGCCATTCCATGAATGCTTATGAATATCACTTGTTCAAAGAGTTGACTTCTAACAAGGTCATGCTTTTCTTGACTAGTGGTTTTCAAAAGGTGGTCTCCGCATGTTCAAGAAGATTCACATTTGCAGAACTGATGTGATAACATTTTTATCTTTTCGATAAGATTATGGTGCACTTATTTCCAATAGGTTATGGAATTTCCAATACTGGAAGCTTTGGTGCTCCAACACTTTTGTGTTGAAAGAAGGGATTCTCAGAGGCAGAGACTGCAATGGCCAAGTGACAAAAAAGAGGGTGTGTTATGGCGCTGGGCATTACATTTAGCAGGAAATCCTTTTTTTCTTTTTTGGCTTCAGGGCTTTGTAAATGGAGGGGCACTTTAGATTCTGTGGCACATTAGACTTGAGTAAATACGACACACACAGTGCCTAGCAGGGTCTCAGCAGGGAAGGTCAGCCTGGAAGATGCCAGTTCTCGGTAGGTGTCCCCTTCCTCCTCCTCCTCCTCCACATCCCTAAAATGTCAGGGGAACGTGTCACAATGGAAACATCATCAGGAGACACCAGCAGAGTGAGTAGGGAAGGCTGCCAGGATGAGCTGCAGCTCCAGGTGCCAAGCACTTCCCCAGGAGATGTAGGGCTGTTGGAAACTGGCACCCCTGAAACACCCCTGAGCAGCTGCCAAGGCATCACAAATTTATTTATTTATTTACTAGCCGTCTCCTGCCAGGCGTTGCTGTGGCCCAGTCTGGTGATCTGGAAAATAAAGTAATTAGAAAGTGTTGGTTTCTGAAGTATGTAATTCCTTGATGCTTGTGGGTAAACAGTATTTCTTGTTGTTTCTTTGTCTGTGTGGAGAAGAGCAAACCACTGACCACCTGCTGCAATGCAACCTGAGCCCTGCCACATGCACCATGGAGGACCTCCTTGCAGCAACACCAGAGGCACTCCAAGTGGCCAGATACTGCTCAAAGGACATTTAATCAACTACCAAGCTTGCAAATTTTGTGCTCTGTTTGTTTGTTTTTGTTAAAATGTAATACAAATTGCTGATTGCTGATGACACGATAAATATAAAATATTTGTCACTGTTGAGGAGATTGTCTGGTTTGCCTTCTCTGGAACATGCAACATATCATTGTCCTTCTTTAGGGGTCCCTTTCACATCTATGATACTACATCTCTCTGTGTGTGAATCATATCTATCTATCTATATCTATGGCTGGATAGCTCTTTGTCAGATCTTTGATTATGTTTTCTTGCCCTGGTGAAGGGATTACCTTAAGTATTTTCTGTTGCTTATGGGGGTTCTCTGTGGGAAGTTTGCCCCAATTTTATTGATGGTGAGGTTCAGAATGCTCTGATTGCAGATGAACTATAAATCCCAGCAACTACAACTCCCAAATGTTGAGGTCTATTTCCCTCAAACTCCATCTGTGTTCATATTTGGGCATATGGAATATTCGTGCCAAGTTTGGTCCAGATCCATCATCGTTTGAGTCCACAGTGCTCTCTGGATGTAGGTGAACTACAACTCCCAAACTCAAGGTCAATGCCCACCATACCAATCTAGTGTTTTCTGTTGGGAGTCCTGTGTGCCATGTTTGGTTCAATTCAATCATTGGTGGAGTTCAGAATGCTCTTTGATTGCAGATGAACTATAAATCCCAGCAACTACCACTCTCAAATCACAAAATCAATTTTCTTGAGTGAAGGTCACTCCTTGGGTTAGTAGACCTCCAGAGAAGGCGGCTCACTTCACCAGACTCCTAGGAAGTGTATATGAGGTTTGGAGGGGACCCGAAATATCATCCAGTGCCCCCCCCCCTTTCTTGCCATGCTGGAATACACAACCCAAGTGTTCTAACTAGGTTGTGCTCTGCCTCCAGCCCTGAGGAGAGGCCAGAAGACATTAAAATAATAATAAGTATCAAAATGTGAAGCAGCTTCTGCTCCTGATTGGAATGTTCCTCCTTCATTGCTCCATTGTGTGCTGGTATTTTATTTATTTGTCGTGTCAGGATAACCAGTCAAATTATTTTACATTTCTAACAGAACAAAGCAAACAAACAAACAGACAAAATACAAAATGTATGAGTTTGGCAGTTGGTTAAATGTCCCTTGACCAGTATCTGGCTACTTGGAGTGTTTCTGGTGTTGCTCCATTGTGGTGTTGCTCCAAGGTCCTCCCCGGTGCATATAGCAGGGCTCAGGTTGCATTGCAGCAGGTTGTCAGTGGTTTGCTCTTCTCCACACTCGCATGTCGAGGATTCCACTTTGTGGCCCCATTTCTGAAGGTTGGCTCTGCATCTCGTGGTGCCAGAGCGCAGTCTGTTCAGCGCCTTCCAGGTCGCCCAGTCCTCTGTGTGCCCAGGGGGGAGTCTCTCATTTGGTATCAGCCATGGATTGAGGTTCTGGGTTTGAGCCTGCCACTTTTGGACTCTCGCTTGCTGAGGTGTTCCAGCGAGTGTCTCTGTAGACCTTAGAAAACTATTTCTTGATTTAAGTCGTTGACGTGCTGGCTGATACCCAAACAGGGGATGAGCTGGAGATGTCTCTGCCTTGGTCCTTTCACTATTGGCTGCCACTTCCCGGCAGATGTCAGGTGGTGCGATACCGGCTAGACAGTGTAATTTCTCCAGTGGTGTGGGGCGCAGACACCCCGTGATAATGCGGCATGTCTCATTAAGAGCCACATCCACTGTTTTAGTGTGGTGAGATGTGTTCCACACTGGGCATGCATACTCAGCAGCAGAGTAGCACAGCGCAAAGGCAGATGTCTTCACTGTATCTGGTTGTGATCCCCAGGTTGTGCCAGTCAGCTTTCGTATGATATTGTTTCTAGCACCCACTTTTTGCTTGATGTTCAGGCAGTGCTTCTTGTAGGTCAGAGCACGGTCCAGAGTGACTCCCAGGTATTTGGGTGCGCTGCAATGCTCCAGTGGGATTCCTTCCCAGGTAATAATCCTCAGAGCTCGGGATGCTTCTCTGTTCTTGAGATGAAAGGCACATGTCTGTGTTTTAGATGGGTTGGGGATCCGCTGGTGCTTGAGCCCTACAATGGAGAAGGGAAGGCAGCACATTCCCTGCAGCCAAGGAAGCCTGGCAGCCCTCCAGAAGGAAGGAAGGGAGGGAGGGGCCCCCAAAGGCCATCTAGCCCCGCCCCTTTCGCCTGGAAGCCCCGCCCCCTTTTGTGAGCTCCGTGGCCACGCCCACTTTGCGTCAGAAAGGCGCCGACGTCTCTCAGGCCACGCCCCCTTCGTCGCCGCCATGTCTGAGAGGAAGACAAGGAAGGGGGAAGCAGGTGAGAGTGGTTGTTGTGAGTCCTCTTGCCCTCCTCCTCCTCCTCTGTCTTCCATCCGGGACCCATTTGGGCCTCTTCCCACTCGACCAAGGCAGGCTCAGGTGAGCCAGGGATTCCTCTCCTGCTTCTTTGGCCTCCTTGGTGCCTCAGGCAGATCAAGAGAGAGGGAGGGAGGCCTTCCTTTCCAAACTCAGCCGCGGCCTGCTCTTTCCTGAGGGATTCCTTCTCTCCCTGGAGGCCAGGCCTTGAGAGAGAGAGAGGCCCAGGCCCTTCTGGAGTGAGTCTCCTCCTCTCAAAGCCTGCACTCAGCTTCCTACCCAGTTTTCAGCACGGGTTTCCAACTCTGTCCCTTGTATTGTCGAAGGCTTTCATGGCTGGAATCACTCAGTTCTGTGGAATGACCAGGGTGAGACAAAGGGCTTTTGTCAGTTGGGCTAGGTGTGAATGTTTCAACTGACCACCTTGATTAGCATACAATGGGCTGACTGTGCCTGGAGCAAACTTTTGTTGAGAGGTGATTAGATGTCCCTGTTTTTCCTCTCTGTTGTTTTGCTGTTGCAATTTTAGAGTTTTTTAATACTGGTAGCCAGATTTTGTTCATTTTCATGGTTTCCTCCTTTCTGTTGAAATTGTCCACATGCTTGTGGATTTCAATGGCTTCTCTGTGTAGTCTGACATGGTGGTTTTGAGAGTGGTCCAGCACTTCTGTGTTCTCAAATAAAATGCTGTGTCCAGGCTGGTTCATCAGGTGCTTTGCTATGGCTGACTTCTCTGGTTGAAGTAGTCTGCAGTGCCTTTCATGTTCCTTGATTCGTGTTTGGGCAATGCTGCTGCGTTTGGTGGTCCCTATGTAGACTTCTTGTCCACAGCTGCATGGTATACGGTAGACTCCTGCAGAGGTGAGAGGATCCCTCTTGTCCTTTGCTGAACGGAGCATTTGTTGGATTTTTGTAGCCCTTTGTCTCACCCTGGTCATTCCACAGATATGTAAAACCCCTTTTTCCCAGTTCCAGCAGACCTCACCTCTGAGGATGCTTGCCATAGATGCAGGCGAAACGTCAGGAGAAATGCCTCTAGAACATGGCCATATAGCCCGAAAAAACCCACAAGAACTGTCTGTCCCTTGTGTTTGGATCTCTGTTCTGTGTATATTTTAATGTCTTTTATGGAAACACGTTTTAATTTACATCTTTTATAGAAATACATTTTGACTGTGTATATTTTATAGAATCATAGAATCAAAGAGTTGGACGAGACCTCCTGGGCCATCATCCAGTCCAACCCCATTCTGCCAAGAAGCAGGAATGTTACATTTAAATCATCCCTGACAGATGGCCATCCAGCCTCTGTTTAAATACTTCCAAAGAAGGAGCCTCGACCACACTCCCTCCGGGGCAGAGAGTTCCACGGCTGAACGGCTCTCACAGTCTGGAAGTTCTTCCTCATGTTCAGATGGAATCTCCTCTCTTGTAGTTTGAAGCCATTGTTTCACATCCTAGTCTCCAGGGAGGCAGAAAACAAGCTTGCTCTCTCCTCCCTGTGGCTTCCTCTCACATATTTATGCATGGATTTTTTTGTGATGTTTAATAGGCTTGGGCAATCCATGGTTCTAAATGGTTCTAAAGTACTTACAAAACTAAAGTTCTGGTGGTGAAAATTTCAGAACTCAAACAAAACTCTCAAAATTTCATAATAAATGGCAGTTCCTAATTGGTTCTGTCATTAAAATCACCAATAATGAAATAATAATTAAATTTTGAAAGTTTTGTTAGAGTTCTGAAATTTTCACCACCAGAACTTTAGTTTTGTAAGTACTTTAGAACCATTTAGAACCATGGATTGCCCAAGCCTAATGTTTAAGATGTGTGGCTGTAGTGCCTCAGGGAGAAAGTAGTTCTCGGGATGATGGGAATGGCTTCACGGGTGGAACTGATGGGAGTGAGAGTGTTTCCCATGAAATGCAAACAAAAAAGAAATCAAAAAGAAAGAAATGGGTTCCCGAAGACCAACAAGACACGCAGGTCCACTATGACCAAAGTAGAACAACGCCAAGCATATAATTCACAGCTTGTACAAGATACAATAAACCAAAATCTACAATAAACATCAGTATGTTGGGTTCACAATACTGGTTATATGTTTATTGTTGATTTTTGTTTGTTGTATCTTGTACAAGTTGTGAAATATATTCTTGGTATTGCTCTACTTTGGTAATAGTGGACCGGTGTGTGTCATGGAATGCAGCCAGAAGCTTGGCCTGGCCCTGGGAGTGACGCCAGGCAGAAAGCAGGGAGGGGAGGGGGTGGTGCCCGTCTCTCAGCACCTTCAGTTAAGGCAAGATAATGCTAGATACTAGGCTTGGGCAATCCAGTTCGTTAATTTCGTTATTCGTTATTGATTCGTATTTAAATTAGCTTACGATCCAATATCGAGCCATGCAGGAATAGTGTGAGGAGTAATTAAGAATTGAAACAATTTTTCCAATTTTCGTAATTATTTCGTAATTATTTCGTAATTATTTTCTTTTCTCATGCTTCTTCTTGCCTCACTCTGGGCTGCACTGGGCTACCTTCCTTCCTTCCAGCTGGCAAATCCCACATTCCCCCCTCCCTCCTCTTTCTCCTGGCATCCTTCTTGCCCAAAATTTCTCATTACTTTATTTTTCATACCCTCACTCTATGCCACAGCAATGTGTTGCCAGGTACAGCTAGTATAAAATAAAATATAATATAATATACAATTATAATATAAAATAATATACAATTATAACATAATAAATAATATAATAATATTATAATATATATTATAATACTATTATATTATAGTATTGTATATTATAATATAATATATATAATATATTATATTATAATATTATATATATATAATGTTATAATATAAAGTAATATAATATAATAATATAATATACAATAATATAATATAAAATATAATAAAAATATAATATTATAATATATAATATATATAATATAATATAATAATATATAATATATATAATATAATAATATTATAATAATATAATATAATATAGTTGTTCGTTTTATCACACCAACAATCAACAACAGAGGGAAAGGGAAGCTTCAGAAGTTCCCCCTGTCCCATTTGGATGTTTTTTTTAGCATATTGCGCAATCGCGTCCGCCATTAACGAATCAATTAACAAAATTTTGAAAAGGACAATTTCGGAAGTCCAAAAAAAAAAGAAAACGAAATGCCATCGCCCCCTACAAACGAAATGAGTTTAGAACCAATTTTTTCCGTTGTTACCCAAGCCTACTAGATACAGGTAAAAGTTTTCCCATGACATTAAGTCCAGTTGTGTCCGACTCTGGGGGTTGGTGCTCATCTCCATTTATAAGCCAAAGAGCCAGCGTTGTCCATATACACCTCCAAGGTCATGTAGCTAGCATGACCGCATGGAGCACCATTACCTTCCCACCAAAGTGCTACCTATCGATCTACTCACATTTGCATGTTTTCAAACTGCTAGGTTGGCAGAAGCTGGGGCTGACAGTGGAAGCTCCTGCAAATTCAAACCTGCGACCTTTCGGTCAACAAATTTAGCAGCTCAGGGGTGATTTAACCCACTGTGCTACCGGGCCCGGGCCCCCCTAAGATAATGCTAGGCAGAGGCTATTAAGGTTCTCTCAGTGTGTAAAAGATAAAGAAATGTCAGGTGGTAGTTCCTTAGTTTCCCCACAGAAAGGACTATTTATGTATTTATTTACAACATTTATACACCCCCCTTCTCACCCCAAAGGGGACTCAAAGCGGCTTACAAGGTATATATATATACATACAATATATTATATTATTAGCATCGTACAATATCAGTATTAAATATTACTTACCGTACTTACTTTACTTACTTAGGCGATCCCTCGTTGGACGAGTAAGATGGTCTTCCATCATGGGTTTCCTTGTGAGTTCGTATGTGGCTGTGGAGCTCTATTCTTGCTCTGCATCTTTTTCCGCAGTGAGGGCATTGGTTTCCAGGTGGAAGGCAGTCCCGGTTGGGGTTGGCTTGACGCGCCTTCCTCCTGGCACTTTTCTCTCTTTCACCCTCCACTCGTGCCTCCTCGAATTCTGCAGCACTGCTGGTCACAGCTGACCTCCAGCTGGAGCGCTCAAGGGCCAGGGCTTCCCAGTTCTCAGTGTCTATGCCAGAGTTTTTAAGGTTGGCTTTGAGCCCATCTTTAAATCTCTTTTCCTGTCCACCAACGTTCCGTTTTCCGTTCTTAAGTTCAGAGTAGAGCAACTGCTTTGGGAGACGGTGGTCAGGCATCCGGACAACATGGCCGGCCCAGCGGAGTTGATAGCAGAGGACCATTCAGTACTGGTGGTCTTTGCTTCTTCCAGCACGCTGACATTTCTCTGCTTGTCTTCCCAAGAGATTTGCAGGATTTTCCGGAGGCAGCGCTGATGGAATCGTTCCAGGAGTTGCATGTGACGTCTGTAGACAGTCCACGTTTCACAGGCATGTAGCAGGGTTGGGAGGACAATAGCTTTATAGACAATCACCTTGGTATCCCTACGGATGTCCTGGTACTCAAACACTCTCTGCTTCATTCGGGAAAATGCTGCACTTGCAGAGCTCAGGCGGTGTTGTATTTCGGCGTCGATGTTGACTTTGGTGGAAAGGTGGCTGCCAAGGTAGCGGAAATGGTAAACATTTTCTAATGCTACACCATTAAGCTGTATCTCTGGCATTGGGAAGGGGATGGCTGGTGACTGCTGGAACAGCACTTTGGTTTTCTCGATGTTCAGTGACAGGCCAAGCTTCTCGTATGCTTCTGCGAAGGTGTTTAGAGTGGCTTGTAGATCTTCTTCTGAATGTGCACAGACGACATTGTCATCAGCATACTGGAGTTCTATAACATGTTGTTGTAACCTTCGTTTTGGCTTTCAGTCTGCTGAGGTTAAACAGCTTGCCATCTGTCCGATAGATGATTTCCCCTCCGGTGGGAAGCTTCGCGTCAACAAGGTGAAGTATCATAGCGATGAAGATGGAGAATAGAGTTGGGGCAATAACACATCCCTGTTTGACACCCAATTCCACCTTAAATGGGTCACTTTGGGAGCCATTGCTGTCCAAGACTGTTGCCATCATGTCATCATGGAGGGGCCTCTGTTTAAATACTTCCAAAGAAGGAGCCTCCACCACACTCCCTCCGGGGCAGAGAGTTCCATGGCTGAACGGCTCTCACAGTCTGGAAGTTCTTCCTCATGTTCAGATGGAATCTCCTCTCTTGTAATTTGAAGCCATTGTTCCATTGCGTCCTAGTCTCTAGGGAAGCAGAAAACAAGCTTGCTCCCTCCTCCTCCCTATGACTTCCTCTCACATATTTATACATGGCTATCATGTCTCCTCTCAGCCTTCTCTTCTTCAGGCTAAACATGCCCAGCTCTTTAAGCCGCTCCTCATAGGGCTTGTTCTCCAGACCCCTGATCATTTTAGTCACCCTCCTCTGGACACATTCCCTACTCACTCCTGTCAGGCAGTAAGACATAATGCAACAGGTGGTCATCAAGTTTTGCTTGATAATAATAATAATAATAATAATAATAATAATAATTATTATTATTATTATTATTATGGAACCCTTGAGTTGGAAGGAACTCCAATGGCTATCCAGCCCAACTCCACTCACTTCTGTCAGCATGAAGGCACAATGCAAGCCCTGCCAACAGGTGGCCATCCAGTTCTGCTTGATAATGATGGTGATGATGATTATGAAACCCATGAGTTGGAAGGGACCCCAATGGCCATCCAGTCCAACTCCACTCACTCTCCTTGATAACAACAACAACAATGGAAACCCTAATTTTCTGGTTAATATTATCACATGATTTTGTAATGCTGGCTTTCTCTTTTTGAATTATCTTTAATTCTTGTTGGATATCTCTGACATCTTTTTTGATTGTTGAGATTTCTTCTTTGATTTCGCTTATTAGTTTCCCTGTCTCATCTTGGAATGTTTTTTGCAGACTTTCCTGCATTTTTTCTTGGTTATCCTGTATTTTCTGTAATTGTAACATAAGGTCTTTTAGAGATGGTTCCCCTTGTATTATTATTGGTCTTCTTGTTAGTGTGGTTATTGTGTCCTATTTTGGGCACCGCAATTGAAGAGAGATATTGACAAGCTGGAATGTGTTCAGAGGAGGGTGACTAAAATGATCAGGGGTCTGTAGAACAAGCCCTATGAGGAGTGGCTTAAAGAGCTGGGCATGTTTAGCCTGAAGAAGAGAAGGCTGAGAGGAGACATGATGAGGGCCATATATAAATATGTGAGAGGAAGCCAGAGGGAGGAGGGAGCAAGCTTTCTTTCTGCTTCCCTGGAGACTAGGACACAATGGCTTCAAACTACAGGAAAGGAGATTCCACCTGAACATGAGGAAGAACTTCCTGACTGTGAGAGCTGTTCAGCAGTGGAACTCTCTGCCCTGGAGCATGGTGGAGGCTCCTTCTTTGGAGGCTTTTAAACAGAGGCTGGATGGCCATCTGTCGGGGGCGCTTTGAATGCAATTTTCCTGCTTCTTGGCAGAAAGGGGTTGGACTGGATGGCCCAGGAGGTCTCATCCAACTCCATGATTCTATGATTCTATGGTTGTGAGGTTTTTGTTCATTTTAGGAGTTGTAAATTTGTCCATATTAATGTGTCTGCCCACTAGCTTGCTCTTAACCTTAATTCTTTCTTCTGTAATTGTCCCAAGGACCCTCCTAGTAATTGCTCTTTCTTGATTAGGATGTAAAAGGTCCCACCCTGAGGATTCTTCTTTTTGTATGTGATGGGCCACGGCAGTCTCATTAATTAAATTCCCCAGCTGATTTCCTTTATTGTCTTTCCTTCTCCTCACTCCCTCTCTCCTTTTTGGGCATCTGTACATTCTTTTTACTCATTTTGTTATTTTTCTTTATTTCTTGCTGTTTATTATTTTATTGTTCTTTTTATTATGTTTATTCTTCTTTTATTATGTTTATTCTTCATTAACCACCAAAAGGAGCTTTCGCACAATTAAAACTTGTGCACCCGTACCTTGGGAAGTCTGACTTGGCCATGGTGGTCCACGCTTTGGTTACATCCTGTCTAGATTACTGCAACGCTCTCTACGTGGGGCTGCCTCTGAAGACTGCCCAGAAGCTGCAGCTAGTCCAACGCTTTTGAGGGGAGGAAAGACTCCCCAGATTGCCTCCCCCCCCCCCCCCACCCCCTCCGGCTTGGATTCCCAGCACTCCTCCTCCTTGCCCCCTCCCTTCTCCTCAGGCTGCGCCGCCAAGAGAGGCAAGGGAACAACGAGGGCTACAACGGCGGCAAGGTGCTGCCTGGGATGCAAGGAAGGCAGATTCAATTGATGGAATAACAAAACAACTTCCATTGTGACTGCTGTTCCCAGTCTTTGAAGGGCAAAACATTTTCTCATCCCACATTAAATATCCATATCACCTTACAACACTTCACTACATGCTCCACGGACAATATTGTCTACGTACTCCAATAATGTGTCAATTATTATATGTCGGGATGACCACCAGACCCCTGAAAATCAGGATTAGTGAACACCGCTCTCGAATAAGAAATGGGTCTACTGACTCTTCTTTATATTGTTTAACTGTTATTTTGGAAGTTAATGTTTAACTGTTATTTTGGAAGTTCTAAGTTCATTGTGTTGACAAAATATTGATAAACCATGTGTCACTGTTTCTGATGTTGTTTATGGAAGAAGATCTTTCGATAATATAGGAAGTGTTATTTTGTGTCACTGTGCCTGACATTATTCAATTGTGATTTTGGAAGCTCTAGTTTTACTGTGTTAACAAAGTATTGAAAAGTTATCTTCCAATTATAAACAGTCTTTAATTAATCGTGTGAATGTTCTCATGTTACATTCAATATAGAAATTCTTAGAATATACAAATTGTGATTTGCAATCTACAGTTTTTGTAATTGTTGTTATAGATATCTGTGCATGTTACAATAAGATTCAGTGATTGCCTTGACTGGCATCAGGGTATGCGCTTGGGGCTCTGCATTTCTTGGTATTCCCTTTTTCAACATGACCCTTGAAGGGAAAGAAGGAAAATCTTGCAGGTAAAGAAGGTTTCCACCTGTCCTCACTGATCTTTTGCTTCTTTCTTCCCCAGGGAAATGAGGATTGTGTGGAGCCACCTCTTGGGTGAAGTAAGGAAACCAGTAATATAGGAAGAAGAAGAAATAATCTCAAGGTGATGCTCTTGCTGACTTCTTGAGTTCAGTTACAGATAAGAAAGGGAAATAATACCAAGTATCCGTATTGCAATTCAACAACCTTATCACTGTTGACATGGAGGAGAAAACATTTAAATGCCTGGAGTGCGGAAAGAGGTTTACTCAGAAGGTTGATCTGCAGCAACATGAAAGGACTCACACTGGGGAGAAGCCCTATAAGTGCCTGGAGTGTGGCCAGAGCTGCACTCGGAGTTCAACTCTATATTTACATGAACGGACTCACACTGGAGAGAAACCATTTCAATGCCTGGAGTGTCGAAAGAGCTTTACTGGTAATGCAAGTCTACACAGACATCAAAGAACACACACTGGGGAGAAACCTTATAAATGCCTTGAGTGTGGACAGAGCTTCAGTCAGAATGGAAATCTACGTGTGCATCAAAGGACTCACACTGGGGAGAAACCATTTCAATGCCTGGAGTGTCGAAAGAGCTTTACTGGTAATGCAAGTCTACATAGACATCAAAGAACACACACTAGGGAGAAACCTTATACATGCCTCGATTGTGGACAGAGCTTCAGTCAGAATGGAAATCTACGTGTGCATCAAAGGATTCACACTGGGGAGAAACCCTATACATGCCTGGAGTGTGGCCATAGCTTCATTAACAATTCAAATCTACGTTCTCATCAAAGGACTCACACTGGGGAGAAACCCTATACATGCCTGGAGTGTGGACAGAGCTTCACTCAAAATTCAGGTCTACGTTCGCATCAAAGGACTCACACTGGGGAGAAACCCTATACATGCCTGGAATGTGGACAGAGCTTCACTCATAATTCAGGTCTACGTATGCATCAAAGGACTCACACTGGGGAGAAACCCTATAAATGTCTGGAGTGTGGAAAGAGCTTCACTCAGAATTCACATCTACAGAGGCATCAAAGGATACACACTGGGGAGAAACCGTTTAAATGCTTCGATTGTGGACAGAGCTTCACTGAGAATGGAAATCTACATATACATCAAAGGATTCACACTGGGGAGAAATCCTACAAATGCTTGGATTGTGGACAGGGTTTCATTGGGAGTTCAAATCTACGTTCACATCAAAGGATTCACACTGGAGAGAAACCCTACAAATGCCAGCAGTGTGGACAGAGCTTCATTAGGATTACACAGCTACGTTCACATCAAACAACTCACACTGGGGAGAAACCGTTTAAATGCTTGGAGTGTGGACAGGGTTTCACTGTGAATGCAAGTCTACATAGACATCAAAGAACTCACACTGGGGAGAAACCTTATACATGCCTGGATTGTGGACAGAGCTTCAGTCAGAATGGAAGTCTATGTGTGCATGAAAGGACTCACACTGGGGAGAAACCCTATAAATGCTTGGAGTGTGGACAGAAATTTTCACAGCATGGACATCTACGTTTGCATCAAAGGACTCACACTGGTGAGAAACCCTATGCATGCCTGGAATGTGGAAAGAGCTTCAGTAATAATGGAAATCTACGTGTGCATGAAAGGACCCACACTGGGGAGAAACCCTATAAATGCTTGGAGTGTGGACACAGCTTCACTCAGATTGGAAATCTACGTGTGCATCAAAGGACCCACACTAGGGAGAAACTCTAGAAATGCATGGTGTGTGGAAAGAGCTTCTCTGAGAGTTCAAATCTACATAGACCTACAATTCACATTGGAAAGAACGGTAGTATTTGACCCCAGAGAGACTCCCGAAAACAGAGCTTTCCAAACGTTTCATGTTGGTGACATCCTTTCGCAACATGGTAATTCAGTTCAACATGTGACCAGAGCTTAAACCAACCTCTTATAAGATTTTGAATATAAATATAATATAATAATATTGACAGATTTGTTTTATATACTCAATACTACATAAACAAGTCTTATATCTTTTCAAAATCGTTAATAGACTTACACTTATTCCAGCCAAATCTTAGCTTATATCCTTCTAGGTAGAGTAAAACTCGATTTTCTAATCTAACCCACTCCTTTAGCCTTCCTAATTCTAATATTTAATATTTCTAACATCCACATGATAGTCAAGGATGTCAAAGGGCATATGGATTTCTGCCTATATGTTGGTTGCATGGCTCCAAGTTTGATTTTTATTTTTATACTTTAATTATTAAATACACGGGTTATCCGGAAAGTAAGGTTACAAGGCATGTAGCTCTCATGGGGAATGTTGGTATCATTGCCATGTAGTGTGAAGCCAGTGGAAGCGAACGAGCAGTGCCAGTTGTCAGTAGCTCATCGACTACTGTGGTCATTGCTAATAGTCAACAGGGATTCATCAAAAACAAGTCATGCAAGACTAACTTGATCTCTTTCTTTGATAGAATTACAAGCTGGGTAGATGTTCTATTCTGCCTTGGTTAGACCACACCTGGAATACTGTGTCCAATTCTGGGCACCACAATTGAAGAGATATTGACAAGCTGAATGTGTCCAGAGGAAAGTGACTATAATGATCAAGGGTCTGGAGAACAAGGCCTATGAGGAGCATCTTAAAGAGCTGGACATGTTTAGCCTGCAAAGGAGAAGACTGAGAGGAGACATGATAGCCATGTATAAATATGTGAGGAGAAGTCATAGCGAGGATGGAGCAAACTTGTTTTCTGCTGCCCTGGAGACTAGGACACAGAGCAGTGGCTTCAAACTACAAGAAAGCAGATTACACCTGAACATTAGGAAGAACTTCCTAACTGTGAGAGCTGTTCACCAGAGGGACTCTCTACCCCGGAGTGTGGTGGAGGCTCCTTCTATGGAGGCTTTTAAACAGGCTGGATGGTGCTTTGAACACGATTGTCCTGCTTCTTGGCAGAATGGGGTTGGACTGGATGGCCCACGAGGTTTCTTCCAACTCTAAGATTCTATGACTGGAATTGTGGTGAAGGTTAAAAGTGAGCGTCCTTATTCTGCTTCCCTCCAAGTGCAAAGTTCTCACTGTATGAGGAACATCCAGAAAGTCAGGTTACGAGATTTTTTAAAATACAAAGAATGAAAATGTTTGAATAAAACTTACATGGATTATAGCATAGGTGTTAGATTATTTTTCCATATGATCGCCATTCAGTTCAATACATTTTGTCATCTGTGATGTCTTGGACTTTTCCATTTGTGCTCAGTTTTAGGGGTGGAGCTTAAACCCTCCTATAGGCCTGGCTCTGTTGGTTTAGCCTTTTTGCCTCAGAGCTTGTCTGAAAGGGTTTTCCCTCCTTATTCTGGGTTAGAGCTTTAGAGAAGAAGGCCAGACATTGTCTGGGTTTCTTGGCCTGGCAATCTAAACAGGCATTCTATAGCATGTATATACCTCATCATAGCTGTGTGTTTACTATTTATTTATTTATTTATTTGCTATACTTGTATACCGCCGTTTCTCAGCCTAGCCGGCGACTCAACGCGGTTTACAACAACTTATAACAAACAACAGTATACAGTTTAAAAAGCTTAAAAACATAATCCACAATACATATATCAATAAACAATCCAATTCATCTCTTGACTAAAATCGTGATCCAGTTTCGTCGTCCAAATTGCCAGTCCTTCAATCATTACACTTATTGCACTGGGTTAACCGAACGCCTGCTCGAACATCCAGGTTTTTAGTCTTTTCCGGAATACCATCAATGAGGGGGCTGATCTTACCTCCATGGGAAGGGCGTTCCATAGCCGCGGGGCCACCACAGAAAAGGCCCTGTCTCTCGTCCCCGCCAGCCGCACCTGTGAAGCAGGTGGGATAGAGAGCAGGGCCCCCCCAGAAGATCTTAGGGTCCTGGTGGGCTGATAGGCCGAGATACGTTTGGATAGGTAAGTTGGGCCAGAACCGTTTAGGGCTTTAAAGGCCAACGCCAGCACTTTGAATTGAGCCCGGTAGCAAATCGGCAGCCAGTGGAGCTGGTGAGCAGAGGAGTTGTATGCTCCCTGCGCTCCGCTCCTGTTAGTATCATGGCTGCCGAACGTTGGACTAATTGGAGCTTCCGGGCCGTCTTCAAAGGCAACCCCACGTAGAGAGTGTTGCAGTAGTCTAAACGGGATGTAACCAGAGCGTGGACTACCGTGGCCAAGTCAGACTTCCCAAGGTACGGGCGCAGTTGGCGCACAAGTTTTAACTGTGCGAATGCTCCCCTGGTCACCACCGAAAACTGAGGGTCCCAGGCTCAACGATGAGTCCAAGATCACACCCAAGCTGCGAACCTGCGTCTTTAGGGGAAGTGTAACCCCATCCAACACAGGCTGTAACCCTATGCCCTGTTCGGCCTTGCGACTGACCAGGAGTACCTCTGTCTTGTCTGGATTCAATTTCAATTTGTTCGCCCCCATCCAGACCGTCACAGCGGCCAAGCACCGGTTCAGGACCTCGACAGCCTCCTTAGTAGCAGGTGGAAAGGAGTGACAGAGTTGGACATCATCCGCGTACAGATGGCATCGCACTCCGAAACTCCGGATGATCTCACCCAGCGGCTTCATGTAGATGTTAAACAACATGGGAGACAGTATTGAACCCTGAGGAACCCCACAAGACAAAGGTTGTGGGGTTGAACAGGAGTCTCCCAGTAACACCTTCTGAGACCGACCCTCGAGGAATGAGCGGAGCCACTGCAAAACAGTCCCTCCAAGACCCATCCCCGCGAGGCGTCCCAGAAGGATACCGTGGTCGATGGTATCGAAGGCCGCTGAGAGGTCCAGCAGCACCAACAGGGACTCATGCGAGGCGTCCCAGAAGGATACCGTGGTCGACGGTATCGGAGGCCGCTGAGAGGTCCAGCAGCACCAACAGGGACACACTCCCCCTGTCGAGCTCCCGACGCAGATCATCCACTAAGGCGACCAAGGCTGTCTTGGTACCATGCCCCGGCCTAAAGCCAGACTGTGCCGGGTCCAGATAATCCGTGTCTACCAAGAATGCCTGGAGTTGTGAGGCCACCACACGTTCCATGACTTTGCCCAAAAAGGGGAGATTGGAAACAGGCCGATAGTTGACGAATTGAGTGGGGTCCAGTGATGGTTTCTTCAACAGCGGTTTTATAACAGCTTGCTTTAAGCTGGCTGGAATTATGCCCTCCCGAAGGGAGGCATTAACCACCACCTTCACCCACTCGGCCAATCCCCCTCTGGCCTCCTTCAGAAGCCAGGATGGGCAGGGGTCTAGGATGCATGTGGTAGCTCTCATTCCTCCAAGCACCTTGTCCACATCCTCGGATTGAACCAATTGAAATGAATCCATCAAAACCGGACAAGCAGATGCTCGTGTTACATCCTCAGAGACTGCCGTTAATATGGTATCCAGACCAGAGCGGATCAAAGCGACTTTGTCTGCAAAGAACTGAGCAAAGGCTTCACAGCGAGCTGCCGAGTCATCAGGGCACCCATCCTGCATGGTGGGTTTTAACAGGCCTCTGACAACTCGGAACAGTTCAGCCGGACGGTTCTTTGCAGACGCAATAGTGGCCGCAAAGAAAGTCTTCTTTGCGGCTTTTATTGCCGCGGCATATGCCCTTAAAAAGGACACAAACCGTGTTCGATTTGGCTCGCTCGGATTCGAACGCCACATGCTCTCTAGTTCCCTCTTCTTTCGCTTCAACGCTGCCAGCTCCTCAGTGAACCAAGGTAGCGGGGACTTAGAAGGGGGGGCAATATGAAGGGAGGAGTTGATGGTTACTGAGAGTGGACAGATCGTGTCTATTGGGGGGGGAATCCTAGCCATGCTCCCATTCGCAATTGATGCAAGGGAGCTGACCAAGGAGGCAGAATCATATCGACAGTGGGCAGGAGTCACCAACCGAGTTAGGCCGGCTGGGGGGGAAATTCCCCAAGAGCGTCAGGAATCGCGAATCCGGAGTCCATAGAAGGAACTCCTGGAAGAAGCGGAGCGCAGAGGAAAGAAAGTGGGCTATGAATGGTGGGGTGCTCAGCCTTGCACAAAGGTAATAGGAGGGTGCCAAGGAGAGTTGAGGTCTAAAGCGACCAGGGGTGGTCGGATCCATGGCAACCGGAGGAGGATGGGATAAGTCTTCAATCATCGCCACCTTCCTACCATCCCTGAGAGAAGAAGCCGAAAGGTCCGAATGTGTGTCACAGGCACTGTGGGTGGCGGCAGATACCTGTTGGGACAGCCCCATGGTTGCCATGGCAGACATGAAGTCCTGAGCCGCTCCCGTGAGGGTCGGCATGGATGTTGAAGTCCCCCAGCACAAGAAGCCGTTGAGACTCCAACGCCAGGCTCGAGACCACCCCCGCTAGCTCAGGTAGGGAGACTGTAGTGCAGCGAGGTGGACGGTACACTAACAGAATCCCTAATCTGTCCCGGTCACCCACCCTCAGGTGGACGCATTCAAAATTTGTTGACTGCGGGATGGGGGCCCTGGTCAGAAGAATGGAATCTCTATAGACCACTGCAACCCCGCCTCCCCGCCCTCCGGATCTTGGCTGGTGCTGCACAGAGAAACCTGGCGGGCAAAGCTGGGTCAAATTCACACCTCCAGCTTCGTCCAGCCAGGTCTCTGTGATGCACGCCAGATCTGCCCGTTCATCCAGGATTAAATCCTGGATGAAAGCTGTTTTGCCATTGACAGATCTGGCGTTCAACAGCACCACCTTCAATCCGGCTGGACCGCCATCCTGGTTACACCAATTTGCCGTATCAGGAGACCGATTTGGAATTACTAATGTTGTTGTACGGTCCCTAGGCCGAATTCGGGGTCTCCTTTTCCCGTATCTCCCCCTCCCCACCACGACTTCTATGGGGGCTCCCCGACTAACGGAACACCCTCCCTCCTCCATGACGCAATTCACATCCATAATTTCACCCCATGCTTCGCTGTTGGTTATCTGATTTGTTACCGATACAATTCGTTCTAGTTTTCCCTTCCATTCATTTCTTACCCGGACTTTGCTATTTCCAGAAATCTCCGATTCACTCCCCTCCTTACCTCCCCCACAGATAATTAACAGAAGGGTTATTAAGTACCAGGGAATCGGGAGCAGCATGAATGGTGGGTGGTAAACACAATCAGCAGAGCTACCAAGTTCTTAAAGTGCAGCAGGTAGTTGTATCAACCTCACAGTTCTTAAAATGCAGTAGGTAGGTGTTAACCACTATTAATAGCGCTACCAAGTTCTTAAAGTGCAGCAGGTAGTTGTATCAGCCTCACAATTCTTAAAGTGCAATAGGTGGATGTTAAGCACTATCAATAGAGCTACCAAGTTCTTAAAGTGCAGCAGGTAGTTGTATCAACCTCACAGTTCTTAAAGTGCGATAGGTTTAACGAGATTGTTCTAAAGTGCTAAAGTAAGGTGCGTCATGGAGGACTACTGATTTAAATACCAGAAGACTAGAACAATGGGTTAAAGTGCTAAGTTGAGCAGGGTAATGGACCAATACAGTGCAAGATAGCAATTTAAAGTGCTGGAAAATTAAGGTGCTGAAAGATTAAAGTGTTGGAATTATGCAGATTAACAGCAGCACTCGGTATGTTGACAGATATTAAAGCATACAATTCCAGGACAATGGACGACAGAAAGCGGAACCAGGGATGGATGATATTGGTCCTTCCGGGAATAGAATTAATGTCCGCGGTGGTAGTCGTTGGCCACAGCCGGACAGTCCGATGGTAGGGGATGGCCAACACAGATGGACGACACAGATGGACAGCACAATAGATTGAGCAACACAACGGTCGACACAGTAGATGATTAACTGGTCAGCACACGTCAGGCAGCCTGAGTTGGTCAGCACAGCATTCTCCACACAGATTGAACAACACAAACGGTCGGCACAGAGGATGGTTAATTGGTCAACACACAATTAGGCAGTTTGAGCCGGTCAGCACAGCAACAGCACGGCGTCGGTAGCATACAAGTCCACTAGGCCGCGCCCGGGGCTCCGACCCAGAACCAGGCCGGCCCGGGGCCGATCTCCCCGAGGGGGAAAACGGCGCACAAGCCGGAGCGCCCGGGCGTCCGAAGGGCGGCGAGAGATGGTAAGCAAAAAAAAAAAATTAAAAAAAATTTTTATTATGATAATTGTAAAAATATTCAAAAATTTACTTTTTTTAAATTTATTAAAAACAATTCTGCAAGTTACCCCCTCCCCCCACCATCCTACTTGAAAACAAAGGTCGTGCCTTGATTGCCATAGAGATGGTCAGCACCAACCCCCGCCAGGAAGCCATCTGACGCCTTGTACCGCCAGCAAATCCAAACCCCGGTTTGCCTCCGCCGATGGCCGCACAACTAAGTGGCTTTCGAAAACAGGAATGATGGCTAATGGCCGCT